CTGGGGCCGGGGGACGGCAGCACTAGCTATGCTGCTGACGTCTGCCCATGACCTGGCTGCCTACGGATGGGGACGGATATTACCTGGGAGAGGGGATAGATAAGCCTGGCACTGCCTGTGCCACTTGGGGGCAGTGAGGTCTTCGTGGCGGACGAGCTGGAGGTCCGGGCCGTACGGTGAGTGAGTTGGGCAGCAGCTGGGCAGCTGCCTGTGGTGCATGGGTACCTCAGGGCATCTGTATAGCTCTCTCTTATTTGACTTTCCCTCGTTGTTCGTTTCACTATCCGTGGAGAAGCGAATGTGTACACACACAGCGACATGTATGTGTGTGTGGACACCGTTCAGAGTGTGTGTGGATAGGCCGCAGCTTCGCGTGACTGACTTTTCAATCGTTTTGGCGCGAAAGTGTTTTGGTGTCATCACGTTCTGTTCTGAGTGTTGCGTGAGTGAGGGGACCCCCTCCCCCGGATGCTATGCGTGTGTGCACTACACACTTATCCGTCAATGGACTCTCTCGGCCAACAGAGATTCATCCAGATATCATCGGTCTGCACGCACCTCACAGCGCCCGGCAGTCATACCCTGTCAGTCTGCCTAATCCACACCAAAGTGAGCACGACGGAACCAACAACACAGACATCGGAATATAAAATGTAAGCAGCGATGCTGCACACACGCAGCATGCCAAGGAGAGCTGGTGTCTCTCCTCTAACACACTCTCCCCAACTCAGCCGCCCCTCCCTCTCACTCTAACACGCCATCAACTATCACCCACCATCACGTCGGACAGACACACATGGGCCACGGCACGAGCCACGAGCCATGCACCAACTGCACTGCACCAGTAATGGAATCCATTGCATGGAAAAATATCCAACACGCACCGCACGCACGAAGGGCAAATCCGCAGTAAGGGCAAATGGTGGTGGTGGCCTTGGTCGGTGGTGGCTGCGTGGGGGCCGTGTGTGGGGTGGCCTTGGTGGGCGGTGGCTGGGCGGCTGCCTTGGTGGGCTTGGCGGGCGGCTTCTTGGTGGCCTCGGTGGCGGCGCTCTTGGCGGTGGTGGCCATGGTCGGTGGTGGCTGGGCGGGGGGCGGGTGTGGGGCGGCGCCTCGTGTGCGCGTGGCGGGGGGGATGTCCTTCTTGGCGGCGGCGGGGTCCTCCTCGGTGGGGCGGGCAGTGGCGGTGACGTCCACCGTGTTACCGTGTTGGCGCCGTCCGAGCTGCACACAGTGGCGCTCTCGGCCCTCTTTGTGTCCTGCGAGGCGTCCTTCATGCCTCCACTGGCACTGGTGCGGTGGAGCCTTGGTCTTCGTGTTGGCCTTGGTCTTGTCGAAGCTGCGCTCGGCCTCCTCTGCTGTCGCCCTGGCCGCCAGCCAGGACTCCTCACGCCACGCATCCTTATCCACCTCCTCGCCAGCAGCCTCCCTCGCCCACCTCTCCTGGAACTTGGCGAGGAACGCCATCGATGCGGCGGCGGCGCCTCGCATGCCCTCTTCGCTCTGCACAAGCAGTTCATTAGATGGGCACGGCGGTCACTGTCTGCCTCATTCGTCAGTCGGTCCATCACTTACCTGCGCGCGAAGCCGTGCCCATTCGTCGGGCGTGAAGAACGAATGCTGTCGACCCTGACGATGACAGACAGACAGAGAACAACGCAATGAGACCAGCACAAGCAATCATTGCGACAAATGCACGACAGTCCGGTAGCCCTTCTCCCCCTGGTACACCTGATTGGTCTTGCTAGCGCTGTCGTCTCGCATGGAAACAAACACGCACACACATGGAAACAAACACGCACACACATGGAAACAACCAGCGCCCTCACTCAGCCATCACTACACGGACAGTGCGCCTACACGTGCGCCAATCCAATCCACCGCTCTTATCCACCCACCAGATGCTTAGCGTCCCGTGCCCCATGGAACGCTACTCAACCAGACAGGCCGCCCCCAATCCAACCGACGCTCCGCTCACACGACAGCGATCCATTCTCCGCTCCCCCACTCTCCCGTGCCAATGTGCGCGTGTGTGTACCAACAGCCAAACCGACATGAACAAAACACCACGCAATCCCCTCTACATGACTTCCCTCCCCCCCACAAATCAAAACCCTGATGGTGAGCTCCCCGGCGACAGCAAAAGAGCCGGCGGTGCGAAAGAAGCGAATGGTTGAGAGAGAAAAACAAGCTAGTTGTATCCACTGACACCAGGCAAGCGTCCACCCTTCGCCTCCCATTCAGTCTGCCTGCCTGCCTAATCCAACCACACCACACCAAAGTGAGCGCTGGACGAGGGAACCCACAACACAGACATCGGAATATAAAATGTAAGCAGCGATGCTGCACACACACGCAGCATGCCAACAGCCGAGGAGAGCTGGTGTCTCTCCTCTCCGCGTTGAGGAGGGCCGCAATGGGCAGTCAGACAGCTGGAGAGATGGGTACAGATGGACAGGCGGGCAGCCATGTAGTCGGGCAGCCATTGGTCGGGTACATGCGGGCGTGGGCGGACAAGCGACAGTCGACGGACGGACGGACAGAGAGGCGGACGGGCATCGATGGATCAGCGGGAGAAGGTTTGGGGCTGCTGCGGCGGCTGGGTGGCCAAGTGATACAAACGACCAAGATGCACACACACACACACACATTTTGATTGTGGGGTGTCTTGCCTACCGGCAGCGAGGGGGTCTCCGGAAGGGGCTCGTTGAACCACTCGGGCACCTCCCCATCCTCCTCCTCCCCATCCTCCTCCTTCTGCACACACACACACACACGCACACACACACAGATGTACTGTACTCACGAGTGAGCAAGTGAGCAAGTGAGCTTGCCCGCATCTGTCTAGGTGACACTCACTCAACCCACCCACCCACCCACTTACCCACCTCGGTGTTCGTCATCTGTTGGTACTGCTTGGCCAGCTCCTCAGTGCGGCGGGCGAGCCTGTCCTCCAGCTGACAAGACCGACAGACAGGGGGAGGGGAGACCAGACCAGGGTGTCATTGTGTGAATGCACATGTATGTCATTTGCGCACATCCATCTCACCTCAGCGTCTCCTTCGTTGACCTGCCGCTCCTTCCGATACATGTCGGCCTGCTGCTCGGGGGAGAACTGCGCCAGCAGCGACATTTCTCGCTGCATCTGCTCCTGGTCGGTGAATGCGGCATCGCGGGGTGGCTCCTGAATGCACGCACCCACACAAACGGGCACAACAGGCACACACATGACCATCCTCCCCCTTCCCTTCTTCAAGAGATCGCTCATACCTCGATCCCAAGCGCAAACAACATGGTCCAGCTTGGCGAGAAGCTTGCCGGCAAAGTCAACGAGGTTCGCCAGTGTCTTCCTGTACTTGGCGTCGTCGGCCGTGGGGCTGCTGGTGGCGTAGCTTGACAGATGGTCGATGGCCTTCATCACCAACCGGCTGGTCTTGAGTGTGGCGAAGAAGATTGGCTGTAGGGGATCGATGGCGTCGAGGAACGTCGCGAGGGTGGCGCGGTCCTCGCTCCTCTCAGTGGCCGCCGCCCGCTCGATCACCATGAAGGCGAGATGGTGCACGTTGTCCTCCGTGACCAGTTGCGCTGCCTCCCTGCCCTGCGGGCAACACGCACACACAATAAAACCAACACATGACAGACATGATGACAGACGAATGGCGACGGGTTCATTCCTTCTCTTCAAGTTGCTGCTCTCTCCTCTGCGCACGCGAACGTACCTTGAGGTTGGCGCAGCCGGGGGCGTTGCTGAGGGCGAAGATGAGCGTCTTGAACTCGTCGAGGGGAAGCTTCTCGGCAGGCGGCGGGGCTCCACAGGTGCAGCAGAAGCCCGGGGTGGGCGTCTTCTTGGCGATGTGGTGGTCGTGGAAGTCTTGGAGAAGTGCACGTGGGCGTACGCCTGGTATAGCTGCCGACGCCGCTGTGGAGCCGCCTTTCTCGGGGTGGCACGTGTGCGGTGTGCGTGTGTGTGCGATGAATTATTCGAGTCAAAATCTCGCGCTTGCCCGCCAACACGAGTCCTCTTCTCTCATTCGGCGATACGCTGACGTCGGCGACAGAGGCGAGCAGCTTGAGGCCAAGGGAGGCATGGGCTTAGGGGATGGAGGGCGTTGCATAAGCCACCAAGCAGGCGAAAGGAAAAATGACAAAGGGTCTGCGGCCGAAAGAAGGCTGGAAAGCCCAAACGCGGCGGAAACTGTGAAATGACTTCGAATTATAAATCAGGGTTGTCTCCGTCTCGTCGCGAAATATTATCTCGCCGCACCTTTGCATTGGCGTTCTGCGGACACGAGGAATTGCCAAGGGCAGAGAGGATAGCTGTCCTTGCAAGGACAGGCCCCGTCACGTGGAGTCCCAACGGCCAGAATGGAGGCATCGATTTACGGAGGTTTGGAGAGTTTGGGCATTGTCCCTCCTGTGCATCGACAGCGTCTTTGTGTCGACGGCATCAGAGATCGACGGCTGAAACCAGATCTGCCATGGAAGATTCAAGCTCGCAAATCGTTTCAGTTCCGAATCCAGTGGAAGCACGACGCTGGCGCACGACGAGCTGATGGCGCACCGGGAGGAGTGGTCAACTGGTTCATTGTTTTGGCGTAGCGAGCCGGCATGCCGGGGCTTTCTCACACCGATGCCCTCTCTGTGCTGGGCCTCGGGCCATCCGCCACCCTCGCCGACATCAAAGCACACTACCGCGAGCGCTGCCTGGTAAGTCCACTGGTGAGTGAGGAAGGTCCTGTTGATGGCAGAGGCCATTCGACGCACTTTTGCACTGCTGTGTGTGCAGAAGTGCCACCCCGATAAGGGTGGCTCTGCGGCGGCATTCCGGGAGCTGTATGAGGCCTATGAGGTGGCCTGCGCGCACCTCATTAGCGGCAGTGTGGGAGGGGTAAGCAGCCGAGCCGCGAAAGAACTCACTGCATGTGCTCGTGTGGCAGATGTCTATCTCACTCTGTTGGTGTCTGTCTGTCTGTCATCGTCAGGGTCGCCAGAATTTTTCCTTCACGCCCGAGGAATGGGCGGTGGTGGTAGAAAGGCTTCGCGGGCATGTAAGTGATTGACCAACTGACGAATGAGACAGACAGTGACCGCCGTGCACATCTGATTACTTAATTGTGCAGAGGGACGAGGCAAGGCGTGGCGCCGCCGCATCAGTAGCCGCCGAGAAGGCGCACCTGGCCAAGGTGCGCGAGATGCGGGCGAGGAGGGCTGCCGGCGAGCAGGTGGATGAGGGTGCGTGCCTGAAGGAGGCCCGGCTGGCGGCCAGGGCGGCAGCGGAGGAGGCCAAACGAAACTTCGACAAGAGCACTCAGGCCAACACGAAAGGCGCCAACAGCAAGGACGACACCCCCACTGTCCGCCCCACCGAGGAGGAGCCCACCCCGGCTCCCAGCCAGCCACCTCCCACCAAGGCAAACAACTTCAAGCCCTCCACGGGCGCCACCGAGACCACCAAAGACGCCCCCACCAGCAATAGCGCCGTTACCGCCAGCACCAGTGGAGGCACCGAGGCCACCAAAAAGGACACCGAGAGGGGCGAGAGCGCCACTGTGTGCAGCTCGGGAGGCGCCAACACGATGGACGACACCGCCACTGCCCGCCGCACCGAGGAGGACCCCTCAGCCGCCAACAACAAGCCGACCGTCACGGTCCCCGCGGCAGCAACGAAGCTGTCAAAGCGGCAGCAGCAGCATCAGGACGAGGCGAGGGCGAGGCGGCAGGAGTTAGAGGAGAGGAGCGAGGAGGCGGCCAAGCGCCGCTTCCGCGTGTGAGAGGCCGTGTCCGGCAGCGGTGCGCGTGTCTGACCGCGCGCCGCTGCCCGACACGCGTCTGTAGTGTGTGGAGGGTTCAGCCAGGGACCTTTCTCGTTAGCTGATGGCGTGTTAAAGTGAGAGGGAGGGGCGGCTGAGTTGGGGAGAGTGATGTGTCGACACAGACTTGGGGTGCGTGTTATGATTCATTCAGTGTGCAGACGGTGAGTAACTCATTCGTAATCGAAACGCGACGGATACCTTGGAGAGGGGATAGATACGCGTCATGGTATAAGAGAGAAAAACAAGCTAGTTGTATCCACTGACACCAGGCAAGCGTCCACCCTTCACCTCCCATTCAGTCTGCCTGCCTGCCTAATCCAACCACACCACACCAAAGTGAGCACGACAGAATCCACGACACAGACATCGGAATATAAAATGTAAGCAGCGATGCTGCACAGTGCACACACGCAGTATGCCAACAGCCGAGGAGAGCTGGTGTCTCTCCTCTCCGCGTTGAGGAGGGCCGCAATGGGCAGTCAGACAGCTGGAGAGATGGGTACAGATGGACAGGCGGGCAGCCATGTAGTCGGGCAGGCATGCAGTCGGGCAGCCATGTAGTCGGGCAGCCATTGGTCGGGTACATGCGGGCGTGGGCGGACAAGCGACAGTCGACGGAC